AATCAAATGGATGCTGGTTTTGACAGAGTAAGGGTTAATCTCAGGCTTCCGGTTTGGATAGGAAGTAGGAAGAAGACTGGGCTTGAAAAATATGAACAAATAGACTCTTTTCCAGTGCTGGTCTTCAGAAGTCAGGGGACTTGGTGTTTGGCAAAAAGATGCCTTCCTGTATTTAAGACCTATTTGTTTAGCTGGGGCTGGATGTCTACAAGCAGCCCTGGGCTGGAAAAATAATGGTGCAGGTGTCATTTTACGATGGGCAGTTGACACATGCAGAGGTGGGGCAAAAAAATGGACTAAAATGGACTAAAAAAAAAAGGACTAAAAATGGACTAAAAATGGACTAAAATGCACCACGAGGACACATGCCTTACGGGTGCTACTACAGCTTCTGTCTGACTTACCTGTGGGTATCTGTGGCTCAAGCACTGTACTTTAGAGCCACCGGCCTGTATTTTGCCAAAAATTTTTACCTCCAGATTTTCTTCATCTCAAAACCTTTTCTGTCCCTCGCCATCAAAGAGAGATGTGCACACACCGTCGGTCAATACCATTCATATGCCAGTGCTGCCCAATCTGTATCTATAGACTTGCCTTCTCCTCTATGCTCTGGGCAATAACCACAACTTGTTCAGATAAAAACTAGGTGCCACTGACACCACTTCTCTCCACCGACACCACCCTAAACCATCATCCTCTTTCTCCTCAACCAGTGGTCCAGCCCCTTTCCTCATTCCCCTGCTTCTACTCTTCTAATCCTTTCTCCAACAGAGCGGCCAGAGTGAGCCTTAAAAATATGTATCTGATCATTTCATTCTCCTTCCGCGGCTCCTGTGACACCCACAGACTGTAGACTGTGTGCTTCTGTCCAGCCAACCTCTCCGACCTTATCTTGTTACACCCACCCCCTACTCACTTTTTAATGTTCCTCGAATGTTCCAGTTTTGTTCCCATCCCTGAGCCCTTGTTTCTAGCACCTGGAATAATTTCCCCCAGATCCTCACGCAGCTGGCTCCTTCCCATCCAGCTCCCAGCTTCTGTGTCAACTCCTTTCAAGAGGCTTCTTTGTGCCCAAGCCTGTCGGATGGCATTCCAGTCATCTCCACTCATATCCTGGTTACACTTCTCATCGGTGTACTCATCGCTACCAAACGTTTGTTAGTTGTCTGCCTCACCGTACCAGACGCTGAGCTCTGGGAAGGCAGAGGACCTGTTTGTCTTTTTAAATACACCATCCCCAGAGTGCCGACAAGTGGCCAGATCATTGTGGGTGCCGTAATTTTATGGAATGAGGGAACCGATGAATGAGCACACATATTCTGGAAAAGTGATGATGCTGTTGAGTTAAAAAAATTTTTTCTGGCAATTTCAAGTGTTCAGGTTTGTAAAAGTGACAGAGAATGTAAATATTTAAATTGCAACTGAAAATCAAATACAGGTTAAGAGAAAGAATAGACTCAGTTAATTGTTCTAAGGCAGCAGTAGGATTTAAAATAAACAAGGAGCACTGATTGCCATCCTCATTTTCTAGAAGGTATTGCCGATATGTTCTGGTATTTTTTGAAGCCCTTTCCCCCCTGAAAACCATCATCACAATCATCAACCACATTCAATCAAGTCTCCTATTCAGGAGAAGAGAGAGGGGCAGACGTGTAAACTCACACACGTTCTCTTCATATTTTCTCACCTTTCCAAGCCAGTTCTGTGTTTCTTTTTTTTTTTTTTTTTTTTTTAACGTTTATTTATTTTTGAGACAGAGAGAGACAGAGCATGAACGGGGGAGGGTCAGAGAGAGGGAGACACAGAATCTGAAACAGGCTCCAGGCTCTGAGCTGTCAGCACAGAGCCCGACGCGGGGCTCGAGCTCACGGCCCGCGAGATCATGACCTGAGCCGAAGTGGGCGGTTTAACCAACTGAGCCACCCAGGCGCCCCTGGTTTTGTGTTTCTTTAGCCCGACAGAAGGCACCCTTCACACAGATGACCATGTGAGTAGTGCCCCCTGGGGCTGTGCACTATGACAGTCCTCAAAAGAGAGAATCACAAGCCAAATGCGGCAGCACAACATTTGTGGCTGTGGAGGCTTCTTTATGAGGGGTGCTTTTCTGGTAAAAATGTCTTCACAATACAATGAAACAAAAATGGCATTGCTATGTACAGTCAGTTCCTAATAAAACCAAGATGAAAAGGAGCCAAACGGCATATTATTCTTGAGGCTGGTGCTGTGACAGTTTTAGGTTTTAGCTTAACTTAGGGTTAAGTCTCAGGGTCCCTTCCTCTGAATGGTATCCCAGGGACTCTCCGCTCTCCTCTCAAAAGTGTCTGTCCTACCCATGCTTCCCTGAGAGACAGGAGAGCATCAGCCACACAATTCAGAGGGAATGTATACTCCTGGTGTAGTATATGAAAGAGATGGGTGTGGATTATGGGAAACACATTATCTATTAGCCAGGGTAATCGTGACCTTCCAATAATTGAGCTTTTATTGTATGGGAGGAGGACTTCTGATGATTTAACGTAAGTTTTTATGATCGAAAACAAGGTTACTGTCCACGAAAGTAGAAAAACCCACGAGGGTCAGCAGTATTTCATAGGAAATATTGGCACAGTACCAACAGGGAAGGAGACAGACTGAGCCCAGTCCCATTTAGATGTAGAGACTGAACACACTGGCTGCATTTCAGTTTTATGATACTATTACATCAACGCCTACCTCAGATCCTTTTGAGTGTTTACAGCAGGCTCAGAATTTATCAACTCCTACCTCTAGGTGGCAGCAACCTCCTGCTGTTCTCAACGTGGTCGCCTTTGGCCTTTGTTTCCTACCTCCACTGTAATTCCACACTTCCTTCTCTTTCCCAAATAAATACTTCACAGCCCGTAAACTTTGGGGAAGATTACTGTAAGCTACTTTCCCTGCAAGAAATCAGTCCATTCTTGCCGTTAAGCTACAGGGTTCTTCAAAGAGTACAAAATAATTCAGGTCTAAAGTGAAAAAAATAATAGAAAGCGATTTTCTTTCTCCATATCTATCAACCGCAAACTCTAAGGAAAGCAATGTTTTTCTTCACGGTCCTCTGAGGAAAAAAGGCAATGAGTAGAGGAATGAGCAAACTGATGGAACTGGAGACATTTCAATTTTACAATAATGCTAATTTAATGTTATGGGTGATTTTTAAATAACTGCTTTTCTGAAGGATGTAACCTGAGACGTCCATTTATGAGGGCATTCCAAATATATCACAGGATGAGGAGAAGATTCAATGATCACACAAAATTGGTAACATACAGAGAATTACCTTTCTGTCTATTTGGCCTTCCCAGAAACCGAAGTTCCATCTTTATCCTAAAAAGCTACCATTTCTGCTTAGATGTAGTATGTGGGCTTTCTGGAGTACATATTTACCTAATGCATTGAACCACAGTCCTACCCACATAAATTTACCTGCTCAGGGTTGTAAAATCTTTTTTTTTTTTTTTTTTGAGAGAGAGCACACGTGTGTGTGCACATGTGCAAGCAGGAGAGGGGCAGAGGGAGATAGAGAATCTTAAGCAGGATCCATGCTCAGTACAGAGCCAACGTGGGACTCAATCCCACAACCTTGGGATCACAGCCTGAGCCAAAATCAAGAGCTGGATGCTTAACTGACTGGGCAACTCCAGACACCCTAGGATTCTAAATGGTTACAGTTTAAGAGGGACTAAAGAGAGCTGAGTTCAACTACAGCTTTCTTTGAGGGTAGAACAAATGCTGGGTGTGTCAGAGAATCACCCAGGTGGTAGGAAAGATTCCTTTTATGTAAAGTTGACAGCGGACTGTGCGCTAATACCTAGGGTTTACGAAACACTTTCATCCAAGGTGATACTAACGAGTATTACTTCTTTTGCACTCTTCCCAAGACCTAATCTGAAAAGTTTGGGTCAGATACCATTCATTCATTCACTTAATTAGAAATACTGAGTGCAGGGGTGCCTCGGTGGCTCAGTCGGTTAAGCATCCGACTCTCAGTTTCAACTCAGGTCATGATCTCACGGCTTCGTGAGTTCGGGCCCCACATCGAGCTCTGCTCTGACAGTGAGGAGCCTGACTGGGATTCATTCTCATTCCCAATCTCTCTCGCTCTCCCATTCTCTCTGCCCCGCCCCCACTCTGCCGTCTCTGTGTCTCTCAAAACATGTAAATAAACTTTAAAAATTAAGAAAGAAAAAAAAAAAGAAATGCTTAAGTGGAAAAAGTATAAAGAGTAATTTAGGCTGAGTGACAAATTTATACCAGAACCCAAGCTGTAGATGTAAGCTTTCCTCCTTTCACAGGGGGTTCCTCTATTCTCTGTATCTTAATACAGTGACTATGTGTGTCTGGTTTTAAACACTACCTTTTTATATACGGGATTCAAAGTAGGCTTTCTGAGGAAAGAGATGGTTTGGGGGGATTAGAATAAAAAATTAAAAGTTTTAAGGTAAATGGAGTCTAGTTTGACTGAACATTGTTATGATTCGCCCAGTTCAATAATCGCCAAAAAGACCTAAAACAAGCCACTGCTTTTAGTGACTAATTGTGGATCATCTTCATCGTCCAAAACCAAGAAGAGCTGGGTGCCAAGTCATAACATTTAACGTTCATTAAGTGCCTTTAACGGCAGCTTCTAGTTCACCGAATCATGATGGACTTGGTAACCAAGGCCCTCTTCTTCCCCTGGCCAAGGGCTGGGCACCTGAGCCAGCCTGAGGCCGATCAGACTCTGCCTCGCTCTGTTGTGGTTTTGAGGAGGTGACATCAAGGAGCCGGAGCTAAGTCACTCTAAGCCTGCACCTGCTTATTACATCCTGCTCCGAGACCCCAGGTGCTGTCCTGCTTCCTGTGTTTCCCGAGGCCCAACTCTGCTGTTTCTCCTTTGACTTCGTAACCCACCTCATGTCCTTGTCTACGAAATTACCTTTTGCTCAAGTTGGCCAGAGTCCGTCAGCTTCCACTGCTTCTGACAAAAGAACCTCACCCGATAACGGAGATTCAACCGAATGAAGGTGCAGCAGAGGCAAATGGTTACAAGCAGACAGCTGGTTCCAGCAGCGTCTGGGGCCCTCCAGCTACTTCTCAGCTGTGGGCTTATATGGAGTAGCTGTGACTAAAAGCCTTTGCGATACTGGTAGGTTTTAATTTTTGGATAAATACGTCACATACCATCTACTGCTCTCTTGAAACTGATTAAAAGAAATATCTTAATTAAGATACTGATCCTACCTTAGAAAACCTAGTGCTGTACTAAGAAAGAAATATAATAGCTAGTTTTAAGGAAATTACCAGGAAACTTTATGAAAATCTAGTGGTCATTGAGAAAAATTAAAGTAAGGTGAGAATATACTTAACTAAACAAAATTGCTAGTTCACTGTCCACTAGCAGACGAAGAAATCTCCATGGCTAGAAAGATGACTTTGCAAATTTGCATGATAAATGAAAATCAGAATAAAACTACGGACACATCCTGCATTCTCACAAAGAAATCCCCTTATGATATATTAGCCTCAGTAGTATTTCCAGCATACTCAAGGAAACACATTAGGATTTTTGATTGGGACCCAATATTAGTCATTTTATCTTTCAAATATATATTTAGAAGACAACTATGATTAATCAATTTTTCATTCCAAATATATTCACTGGAAAATACTTATGGAGGGACTAAAAACAAATGCATCTCTAAGATACGGTGATTTCTCTGTATATACACGGGCAGTGAATTACCAATTTTAAAGTTAAAACGAAGAAAAGACCATTTGGGGCACCTGGGTGGCTCAGTCGGTTGAGTCCAACTCTTGATTTCCACTCAGGTTGTGATCTTACCCGTTTGTGGGATCAAGCCCTGTGTGGGGCTCTGCACTGACAGCACGGAGCCTGCTTGGGATTCTCTCTCTTTGTTCTTCCCCTGCTTGTTCACTGTCTCTCAAAATAAATTAAATAAACCTTAAAAAAAGGTGTTCATTTTAATTTTATGTATTAATTATAACATGCCTTGTGCTGGTACTTTCAGAGATGCATAGTTTTTTTCATACTGGGATGGCTTTATTCTGCATTATTCATTAACGACTCCCTACGTTCCCTATTCCTCATGTTTCCTTACCATGCAACCATTATTTTAAAGTTCTACGCAAGAACAAGTTTAACAGGGAGGAGAATGTGATAGAGAATAATGCACACTGTGCAATTTAAAACTCTTTAAAAGCTATGGTTTAAGTAGCTTTCCCAAAGTAACTCATGACTTCAGATTGCATAATTTTAAATATCCTTAAGTATATAAAACCAACCTAAAAAAGTAATTACATGGAAAATGTTATCAATCCCAGAATTACAACCTGTTTTTTTTTGTTTTTGTTTTTTTGTGTTTTTTTTTTGTTTGTTTGTTTACTTAGGATTTAGTTTCCTCTGGTTTCCTAATATGGAAGCCTAGATTATCGATTTCAGATCTTTCTTCTTTTCTAATAGATACCTTGATGCTATAAATTCCCTTTTAAACATTGCTTTTGATGCACTTCACTAATTTTGGTAAGTTGTGCTCTTACTTTCATTGACTTAATATTTTTAAATTTCCCTTGAGCTTTCTTCTGTGACCCATGTGCTATTTAGAAGTTGTTCAGACTCCACAAATTTTGGATTTGCCAAACAAGTCCATTTGAATACTGAAGTAATATCTCTTGGCCATGCTAAAATTAATTAGTAAGAGCACCTGGCTGGCTAAGTTGGAAGAGCATGTGATTCTTGATCTCAGAGTCATGAGTTCAAGTCCCACGTTGGAGTAGAGATGACTTAAAAGAAATCTTTAAAAAAAATTAAAAAAAATTAGTTAATAGAATGGAGACGTTTTATTACATGATAGGGTCACACCTAGCTGAGAAGATGCTAGAATCAACAAAGCGTATAATGACAGGCCCTACAGGGTCTTCTATCAGGTTTTCAGTAAGACACTCATGTGTTTCTGAGCAGCGCGTTGGTAAAAACAAAATGCCCATGGATTTTAAATAGAAAAATGTCTCAGAAGTGGTGACCTTTGTGGCCCAGCATGATCTTCTAGCCAAACTCTTCCATAGTTAAGGAAGTAATTGCAGAAAATAACCTTCTTTATTTTTTTTTCCCAAACCATCTTTATTGTGACTGAAGCAATATGAGAGACAAAACTCAGCTGATACTGACAGGAATGTGAAACACTTTTATCGTGAGGTTTTTTGTTGAAATTCTGGGTGATGGAGAATTCAGGAAAATTAGACAAAGGTCTTTAATAAGGTCAATCTGAAAGATGGTACACAGGTTTGAAGTACACATAATCGTCACCAAGCTATGACGAGGGGGTAGAAGTAATTAAAGAACTTAATAGCTGAGACTGGATTATGAAATACAAAAAGATGTGAATTTGGAGGGAATTAAAATGTAGCAACACCCTGGAGGCACTCTTTTCGTTGCAATTCAGTACGAATACAGAGAACTTGCAAACTGGTTCACAATTACATGAACTATGGCCCATTTTCCGAATCTGTTATCAAACACTGGAGAGAGTATGCTTCCAAATTAAATCTACAGGCAACCTGCTGTCACTTATTTGCCAACATGTATGGATTAAAAAACCCACGAGGCCAGGAAGGCATTCTGGGAACTAAAATTTACACATATTCATGTCCATACATATTACCACAATTTTTGCTCTGTCAGTCAAGAAGCAAAACAGTGGAATGCTCTAGTAATTAATGTAACATAATCAATATTATCTATAAACAATTAGCATGCAAGGATCCACGAGATGCTGCATAAACACTTTGGCAAAGTAACTGCCACACAGAGTGGGCAGCACTGTCTTCATGAGGGCCTCTCCAATGGCCCCCTTCTCTCCAGGCATCATACCAACATCATGGGAACTTCCCAAAAGCTTCCTGCTTATTAATTAGTGATGAATTAGCTATCTATCTTACTTAATCATTAGCATTTCTCTTGCTGTACCCATAGGTAGCAACTGCTATGTAGCAGAAAGACGACTGGACAGGTTTGAAGAAACCTGGGTTTATGCCCACGTCTGACATGTTACCTTGCTGTCTTTGGGCCTCCATTTCTACATGTGGAAAGTGAGAAGCTGAAATAAACTTGCTTACGTTTCCTTCAACTCTGAAACTGATAACTACTATATTTGGAAATGCTCTGTCCCTCCCTAAAGGGGAGCTTTCTGAGAGGTTTCTGCGTCAGCTTTCTGAGAGGTTTCCAGTATCAACAACTTCAGTATCTTCCACTATTAAGGCAAAAGGTTTAAACAAGAAGTGCTCTTACTTTTATGAAAAAGGTACATACTAGTTATAGCCTTCAGGAAGATTCTGTGGAATCACATCTAACATTTGCAACTGGAGGCATTTAAATATTTGAGCTCATTGCAGCACTATACAGCCAATAATAAAGCATCACAGTGTGAAAAGGTTCTTTCTGCTCTCCACAAGAATTTGTGACACAGAACTTTCTCATATCCAAATGTGAAATGTGATTCACACTCAGAATGTGTCATAATTTGCATACACTATTAAAACTGGGACTTCTTTGTGTATACAGCTACATAACATCTCAGACATGTTGGTAAGAAATAAACCATAATTGAGACGGGTGGTGACAGCATCCAACTGGTTAGAGCAAATTACTTCTATTATACTGATGATAATTCCTGTTAATACTTTATTTTCTGTCATTATATAAATAGCCCATAAAATCTCTATTATGTAATGCTCACAGCTACTCTTGCATTAAGAGCCCTGGATGCATGTTTGGGTACCAAGCATAACTACCATTACAATAATCACCAAAGAACGATATATACCCAAGTCCCCTATAATTTCAGGAATGCAGCAGGATAGAGGGTGAAGTGAAGAGGAGGGAAGAAAGGGTAAAAAGATAAAAATGAGCATGTATCCATACATATGCCTTTGGGCTACTCAAGCTGATCCTGGGAATTTCTGGAGCTGTATATCAACTCCGGTGTTTAGCTCAGAGATATTCCCCACCAAACCCCTCCCTGTCCTGTTCCAACCTACACATACACACCAAACACAGATTCCAGATCTCTATCATATCTCTGGGTATAAAACAACTGGAAGATGACACGGAAGCAGCCACTCTGTGCATTTGATATCAGAATATACCACCTTTACCCCCCAAAAATCTGTAAAGAACAAGTCTCTCTGCACATTGAATTCTCTTAACAAAGCTTGCCTCCTTTCCCCGCAGTGGAGCAAAATATTTTTTTTTCCTGGCATTATTACCTGCAAGAGAGTAGCAAACGCCCTAAAAAAGGTTTTTGTAGTTACTGGACAAAGGAAGGTATGATGACCTCTACTTAGTGTCAATGAGGAAGGAAAGAGGGAAAGAGAAGGGATATGCACATGAAATACAGAATGAAATCCACATGCTGAACCTCAAATGCTTCATCAATCCTGGAATCCACAAATATTCCTATAGTGGAGTTGCAGCGAGGGGAGAGCCGTTCTGATGGACAGAGTTTATGTCTGGTTGGACTACTACCTTTGATTAAGTGAATATTAAATGAGTTGTACACTGATCTCATGTTCTTCACTGGGGTGCGAACATGCCTGTCATGAAGTTCTTACTGCCATCACTCTTTAATCCCTGGAGGTCAGCAGACAGCTACAGCAAACCTGGCTCCATCCTAACGTCTGTCATTGCACCCCTTACATCCTGGTGCTTTCATCTCCTCCCTGGATACCTACATCTGCTACCACATCCTCTTTCCATTCCAGCAGGTTTGTTTGCCTTGAACAGACGTTCTTTTCTTTCCACACATTTCTTCAGTTCCAGAGAGAAGAAATGCTGCCACAGGAATGAGGTCAGTGGATGCGTCCTCACAGACTAACGTTATGCAAAGGAAAACACTACTTAAAATTTTAAACCATCTTCACTCAATAATAAACACTGGTTTCATAGCTCAACCACAGCCCCTGGCATTTACAACGTACCGATTGTCATGCATTTCCTGTGCATAGCTTATAAGTTCAAGCCTTTTCATGTTTTAGTGAGGCTTAATTGCTTTTCTAATGAACAATATTTTTTAACTGATTGGAGCATTTGCTAATCCAACTTCACAACATCACCCAACATCACTCACAAACGGTGTTTGCAGATCTAACTCAAGCCAGAGCCAAGCTAGTGTTGTATATACCTCATAATTCTATTAAGTATCCCAAACTTCTATTCGGGGAAGATCAACAGTCTTTTTCCCTTTATCTCCATTGCGAGCGTGAGTATTTTAACTTTCTGAATTTCCAGAGCCAATCTTTCACAAAGAAATAGGAAGTGTTTATCACTCAACTAGATGTAGACACTGGGTGATTCGCTGGGCTTCTTCCTAACTAGGTGATTTATTTCCATCTACCAGCCTCACAGCATTTACTTAAGGAAAATTCAAGGTACTATATATAACAGGGATTTTAACTAACTTGTGACCAAATAAAGCACATATTTTAAATCCACGTATGCTCCTACTACAGTTAATTTAGAAATATCTCCAGGTCCTTGTATATGAATTTCAATATACATGAAAGCAGTAACTCAACCCTCTGCTTTTCCTACTAATTCTCGATCTATCATATATATGTCTCACACACACACACACACACACACACACACACACACACCCCTCACATGCAAGAGAGTGAGCTCCTTGAGGACAGAAACCAGGTTTTATTTATCTTTCTAATCTAGTGCTCTTCATAGTGCCAGGGACTGTAAATAAATGCTGCTGAATAAATAAAAGTTGAATTTTCTCAAGGCTAGTAGTAAAAATCCTTTTTGTTTTTCATGGATTACTTCTCTGGAGATAAAAGTGGTTTAAATTTACTCACCAAATAACGTGCTATGAATTATGTAGGAACGAATTACCATTACTCCAATAGTTCAGAAAGGAAGAGTGAAGGAAAGACTATTTGTTATTTACTCAGCGATCGCCACTTAGCCGCTGAGAAATCAGTTGTTAGAACGTGGATGTGGTAACTATCCATGTTGTACTCTACCCATTAGCTCACATTGCTCACTGGAGCATCTCATACTCTCTGTCTGTTGTAAAGTTCCTTTAGTACAGTACGCCTTGTACTGAGAAGGAGTATCAGTTCTGTGCGGTCAAGAAAGAACGTGCTCTCTCCCTTTCCTTTTATGTAATGGGCATCGGCATCATTATTTGCTCGGCTTTCCAGGTTTGACAGGGGACAGTATGCTTTAGTGACTGAGAGAGACCACGAGGATGCCCCAGCTTTTAGACAGCATGTTCCCTGTGCTCTATTTCCCCCTCCATGAAAAAGAAAAGCACAATGTTTAACAACATCACCAGGCTATTGTGAGCGTTAATTAGATTTAATGGGGGAAGGGAGGTGAGCTGATTACCCACTATTCAAATTCAAAGAATCATTATTTTGTGTCTAAAAATAATCCTGACTTAGGAACAAAATTAATTTGGAAGCTCAATCTTTGGTAATCATCTTCCCATACTCAGAAAAAAGTTTTTATTCACAATCCCATTCTAAGCACAATCCAATGAAGTAAAAGTGGAGATATGTGAATTTCCACAGACTTTTGAAGTAATACAGTACATGGATCAATTTTTTATTTCTCTTTTCTTTCCTTTTTTGAAGCTACACGATGTGTAGAAAGGTTAATTTTGTGGAATGGAGTCATGTAAACAAAGTACATTAATTTTTTGTTTCACATGAAACGTTTGTGAAACACTTTAAATTACTTCTTTAAAGAATTAGTAATTGAAGTTTTGTGACTGAAATAACTTTTTAGGTCATTTCCTCTAAGTTCCATTTATTTTTATTTTTTTTCAAGAACTATTCAGTGAAAGAAGATCTTCGATCCATGTCTTAATCCCTGGACCTCATGAATGTTACCGTCCATGGAAGAGTGAATTCTGTACATGTGATTAAGGATCTTGAGATAGGAAGATTATTCTAGGCTATCTAGGTGGGCGTGAGAAGCAATCACAAGTGTCTTTGTAAAAGGAAGGCACAAAGAGATTTGACTACAGAAAGGAAGGAGACAATGTGGTGGCATGGGAAGCAGGTGGAGAAAGCCATGTGATGTGGGGCCATAAGTCAAGGAATGAGAATGGCCTCTGCATGACAGAAAACACCAGGAATGGATTGTCCCCTAAAGCCTCCAAAAGGAATCAACCCACCTGACACCTTGACTTAGCCCCATTAGACTCTTTTTGGATTTCTGACCTCTGAAACTTTAAGAGAATAAATGTATATTCTTTTAAGCCAAAAAAAAAAAAAAAAAAAAAAAAGAGAAAGAGATAGAGAAAAAAAAAACAAAAAAAAAAAAAAGGCCTTCATATGCCCTAAATTAAAAAAAAAAAAATCCCTAGATATTTATGTCTAAGATCAGGGAAAAAATCATCTAAATAGCAATCATCAAAATTAATATAATAGATGAACTTACTATGAAAATCTTTATAAGAACTGAAAGTTGGTACCTGAGAAAAATCTGAGTTGTTGCCTATATATCACTAAAAAGCTTACAATATCTTCCAAAAAAGGGAAACGTTCTTTAAAAATGTAACAGTTAATAATCCTAGAAAATATACCATATCTTTTAGGAGAAAAATGTTGCACTCCGGTTTTGGTGAGTTTTGGCTGAGAAGGAACTTTATCGCTTTTATTTAGAACTTTCCAAAGGAAAAGGAGACTCTGGTCCAGTTGGCAGAAATGTATTCTTTACAGACAAGCGGAAAAAATTCTCTTCTGTTTTAACATAGCCCTATTGAAACTTCCTATAAGACTCGCCAATTTTCATAACTTAGATATATACTCACCAAGCAAACTTCTGATTATTCATTCGATTTCCCCGGACCCTTGATACTGGGGACGGATGTACTCTGTAGGCAGATGAGAATAATCCAGTCATTAAAAAAGCACATTCCTGATTACAAATGAACAAAAGAAAAAAAAGATCTTATTTATAAATGATCTCTTGTAGGTATGCTTATTGCACAATGCCCCATAATCACCTCTTAGTAAATGAATACAGTTCATTCCTAGGCATTCACACCTGCAGTCTCTCCTCTTGTAGCACTTTTGACATAACAACGACTTGCCACAAGGTTCACTGAGAAGACCCCCCAAATGCAGAACCACCAGTTTTAGTTGAATGACAGATTCATTCGGTCCAACAAAAAAGTTACTGACTAGCTAATCTTTGCCAGGTTTAGAAGTGGGTAAAAGTAATGAAAGGTCTGATGTTTGCCTTCAATGAGTCCCGTCTGCTACGTCCTCCCACAAGGGATATCAGGGGGACTCTACGTGCATATTCCCTGAGTCAACTAGTAGAATTCAAACCCTAAGAAGCAAGATAATGAAGGTCAGAATATGCTACCCTCAAATACGCTACTTTGGCCGAAGGATTATTTTGAGTTGAAGACAAGCAACAGCAGACACAGAAGGAGGTCTATACTCTCCCTTTATATGCCTAAAAATAAGGACATAAATTTCCCTTTAGTAAAGGAAATTTTCATTTGTAAAGGGGTCCCGCCCCACCTCTACTACCGTGAAGTGCAACACACAACTCTTCACCTGTGATGGTACTGAGATGTGGCTGAGTCAACAATCCTTATTTGCCATGAGTTTCCCCCATCTGTTTCCTAGTTACCTTCCTACCATCCGCCCGACTAGAACTTCAGACCCCACCTTTTCTTTTGACTCATCACTTCACAGTTTTTCACTCTTTGCTAAACGGTATATAAGATCCAAATTTTAACCCCTTTGAGTTACGACTCACAGAGTATTCCTGCATGCATGCATGTTATGTGTATAAACAGGTTTTTTCCCCCTTCTCACCAATCTGTCTTTTGTCAGTTTGTATGTGTGTGTATTTACTCAGTTGGTCTTTTGTCAGTTTAATCTCCAGGTCCTCAGACCTAGAACCTGAGAAGATAAAAGAAAAGGGTTTGGTTTTTTTTTTTTTTTTCCTTCCACCAAAGTAACTTCATCCAAGTGTCCAGGAACAGAATCTGAGAATGGGGGAAGAAGGAAGGGTGAGCAGTTATTTCCAGGAGAAAAGCTTTCTAGGTGTCATGCTCTGCAGCTGGGCTTTGAGGAAGGCAGTCAATCCGAAACTTTAGCTAAATAATGGCGAAGCAAAAACTAGTGTTGTACAAGCTTTCAGGGTTAGAGTCATCTGCTGGAAGTTTGTATTTCCAAGAACTGCTGATATCTTCCAATCAGGAGCTAGTTGCTGAAACTCCACCTCTTTGTGGGTCACTCACTGGCAACACAGTATGCCCTACTTCCTGCTTCCCTCTGGCCAACTTCCTGCTTTGTTCTATCTTTACTAGGATTTGTGAGATCTAAGCAGTCTTTCGGCTTGTGTTATTACATCCCACACATTTCTCTTATTTGCAAGACAGCAAACAGAAATTTTAAGCTGGTCTTTAAGTCAGAACCAGCGGCTCCACGATTCATTAGAACCCCAGTTCTCTATAGCTGTTTAGCACGTGAAAATTATTTCCAAACAGATAGTACTGTTCCAGCCCCTGAGAAGGGCCAGATGCAAACTTCCTGTAAATCCAGAGGCAGACTGCACTTTGCACTCGGAAGGCTTATTTCTTCCAACATCCCTTATTAACATTCTTTTCCTCACAGCGCTTCTCAATGGCTGCTGCAGCTGGGCGGCTCAGCACAGATTTTCTGCTCTGCATGGGGGAGGGGATGTTAATTATGCAGAAAGATGGAGAGAGGCCAGACAGCCCCTCTGGTGAACTGTCTCATTCAAGCACGGCCCACTTCCTGCTGTTTTTGCAGCTACAAGGATCACCTGTTGGTCTTGGCATCTGGCCAAACTGGGGCCTGGCGGAAATGACAGACTCAGCTAGAAATGAAAGCCAGCTCATATTCCAGCACCCCAAATTGGGGAGAGAGAAAAAAACACGCCACAGAAATGCATAAGAATTATACAAAAGGTAGCAAGACTCATTTCTTTTCTTTTCTTCTTTCTTCTTTCTTTCATTCTATCTGTTTGAAATACAAACATCGTAATGGAATTGTGAGCCAAAAAATGTCTCCTCAGTTAAATCCCCCCTGACCTAAGTCCTCTTAACCTTCTCCACATCCCCACTAGGGTGCCAGAGTCCTATTGCCTAAATAAAGTTCTAAGGAGTAACAGCCCAAACACTCACAATTCTTTAATTCACTCCACATCCTCTGACCAGATGAATTTTCATGACAGAAGTATATTCTTCTTGAAGCTTCTTATTCATAGATCAGTGGGAAAAAAATGGGCTTGTTTAACTTATAATTAAAATATTCCCTAGGTATTTAGATCTTTTAACAAAATCCCACTCATCCATAGTTCAAATACTGTAAGTAGATAATTTCTATCATGGTTTAGCGGTCTACAAAGAATTTCATGACAGTGTGTGTATGGACAAATAATTACAAAGTTTCTTAAATGAAAATAGTAAAACAAGAAAGCTTTTTTTTTCCTTTCTGAAAGGGAGTAAATTGATAACCTGGAGCTTGCTTCATTTGATGAAGAAAGGGAGTAAATTGATAACCTGGAGCTTGCTTCATTTGATGAAGTAGACCATAAAAGGTTTGCATTTCAGCTACTCCCCAAATTTTATTTCTTTAAAAGGATACGCAGTGTTTTTGTGAGCTCAGTCTACACTGTGGCACTTCTGGCCACCACCTCCCTTCTTTCCACAAATAGCAGCCAGGCAAGGTAGCAAAGTCAAAACCCCGGTAGGAGAAACCACCACCTCCTCTGCATGTCATGCATTATTCATGACCTCCTGATTCCTGCACCTGCATCTAGGCAGGAAGCTTGCAGGGAATGTTCATTATTCTTCTTTTAGCCTCACACAGGCTCGATTACTGCTAAGCCACTTTGTTCTGTAACTAAGGGTTTCAGGCCTTAGTACTAACCGCTGGATATGGAAAGAAAAAAAAAATCACCATGCTGAAGAAAAGAACAATTTTGGTTGTTGTGCAACATGTATTGAATCCTACAACGTGCTCTTCTGAGACTGACAGTTACTGTCAGATGGAAATGCTCACATTTGGTGATTTACATTACACAGAAAACAGGGAAGCCATACCATTAAGGCCACGTATAGCAACTGTTCTATTTACATACACTTACTCATCTAAGGCAGACAGCATGTCTATAGTTGTGCCCAACTCAGGGCTTAATTTAGCTTCCTTGCTACGCATGTGGGAACTTTTTAAATATCTTAATACAAAAATGGTTCTTTTTCTTTGGGTATAAGCTGCAAAGAACCTGACCCTCAAGTCTTGTATTTTAATGACTAATATTTATTGTAAATCAAGAGAATATGATCACTCTGCTTTTCAATGTTTTTATGAACATTCCTGAATGGCTAGTGGCTGGAGGTTGGATAGGAAATCCAATACTCAACATGAATTACTGATTACTAATGAACTGCTGGGGAAAGATACCATCTACTTTTTTACTCTCCCCACCAGGGAAAAGCCATGCAGCTTAAATCCAATCTTACAGTCCCAAATGAAATTAGGATGATGGGAAAACAAACTGTGGGAGGCACCTGGGTGGTTCAGTCAGTTAAGTCTTGATTTTGACTCAGGTCATGATCTCGTGGTTTTGTGGGTTCCAGCCCTGCATCTGGCTCTGCAGGAGCCCTGCCTGGGATGGAATTCCAGCTCCACTACCTATCAAGAGAGTCATGTCCTCTTAGGGCAAGCGACCTAACCTCTCTGAGCTTCACGTCCCTCATCGGTACAAATGGAGGCAGAAAAGATGTCCACCTCCGAAGACTGTAAGACTAAAATGTTAATAGCTGTAAAGCATTTAGGACACTGCGTGGTGTCCAGGAAGCAGTGAATACACATTGCCTATTATCACTAGCAGTATTGATTGGATTGGAAAAGACTGGAAGATGAACCTAGAATATCTAACTGATTCCAGGGGACTGAGAAAACAAATGTGCTGTAAGGACCTGCGGTCTTAACTACTATGCTTATCTGACTTCACTAAAGGCAAGAAAGTAACAAAGAGAAATGAATACATATAGAGTAATAAGAACCAACGACTGTGGTTTCTAAGGTATGGCTTACTTTCTGGCATCTAATTTTTCTGTTCTTTATTAGAAGATCTATCTTCTGTTCACTAAAATTTCGTAATATTTCAGTTATTTCCCATCCAAGAACAAGTCAGTAATCACACCAAGACGAAATCACTCCATTAACTAAGCCCTAACGATGTGCCAAACACCATGCTAATTTCATCAGACACATTTATTTTATCCTCATATCCTTATTATCCATATTTTATCATTGAGAAAACTGACTTAGAAGAGTTAAGTTACTTGCCAGGGTGACACAGCTAGTCAACAGCAAAATCAGAGCTTGAACACAGTTATGTTTGACTTATGCTATTCCGTGTGAACCAATCCTATGAATTCATATATATTCCCTCCACACTACCCTAAAGGATGCTAATAAAGTGAATTAGTACTAGGGGCTTTTATGAGAGATTGTGCATTTAATTAGGGCCAACTGAATATTTGATAGTGTAAGTAAATGCAAAGGGAAAGTACTAGTTTTCCTGGACTAAAATTGGCACTGAATGAAATATTAATCATTCAGGTACTCACAAGAAAATCATATTGGTTTACCCACTGATCATCCTTCAGCTGCTTATGAAAATTTCTTATCAGTGTTGCTATTTAAATACATTATATATGACAAGTGTAAGTTTTATTTTTTTTAATTTATTTTTGAGAAAGATACAAAGAACAAGCGAGGGAGGGGCAGAGAGAGAAGGAGACAGAATCCCAAGCAGCCTCCATGCCATCAGCACAGAGCCCAACGCAGGGCTCAAACTCACGAACCATGAGATCAT